ACCCTCGGAGGCGTGTTTGTCGTTAAGGAAACACTCACAGCTGATTGGTCCAATGGTGACAGGAAGCTGATGGCCTGAGGCTCCAGCAGAGCGAGCGCGGCGTCTGGAACAGCTCTGCAGAAATCACAGATTCAGAGTCAGTGATTAAAAAAAGCTGAACGTGAGACCGTTTGTCTTCTCTCAGAGCTGAGAGGGTCCGTGAAGGACTCTGAGGAACATTAAAGTCCAGAGCTACAGATCTGTGACTGAATGAAACCATTAAAGTAGAAAAACAAAGAAAACACGGAGAAGAACCAGCAGAGCATCTCTGAAGAAACAACAACAGACTGAAGTCAGTGAATCAGATCTTTGGAACCTCCAGACCAACAAAAACAACGACTTTAAGAACGTCAGAGAGAAAAAAACAACAAGGAGTGAAATCTGACCAGGAAACAACAACACAAGGAGACCAGGGATTCACACACTGACACAGACACAGACACACAAACACTAATACACACAAACACTAATACACACTGACACACAAAAACACACAGACAGACACACAAACACACACACAAACACTAATACACACAAACACACAGACACAGACACAGACACAAACACAGACACTAATACACACAGACAAACAAAAACAAACAATGAACCAGCAAGAGCAGAGGGGAAGACGACGGCTATAAACACACCCAGGTAAACGAGACTCAGGTGAGACTGATGAGAGATTAACGAAGGAGGGAAACCAGAAACACAAGGAACCAACTCCTACAAAATAAAACAGGAAATAAACACAGAAAACTGATTTAAAGAATAAAACACTGAGAAGAGGAGGGAGACAGGGTCAGACTGAGAACTAAGACTGGACTACAGGGGAACTGGACTACAGGACTACAGGGGAACAGGACTACAGGAGAACAGGGGAACAGGACTACAGGGGAACAGGACTACAGGACTACAGGGGAACTGGACTACAGGGGAACAGGACTACAGGGGAACTGGACTACAGGACTACAGGGGAACTGGACTACAGGGGAACTGGACTACAGGGGAACTGGACTACAGGGGAACTGGACTACAGGACTGCAGGGGAACTGGACTACAGGGGAACTGGACTACAGGGGAACTGGACTACAGGGGAACTGGACTACAGGACTGCAGGGGAACTGGACTACAGGGGAACAGGACTACAGGGGAACTGGACTACAGGACTACAGGGGAACTGGACTACAGGGGAACAGGACTACAGGACTACAGGGGAACTGGACTACAGGGGAACAGGACTACAGGACTACAGGGGAACAGGACTACAGGGGAACAGGACTACAGGGGAACAGGACTACAGGACTACAGGGGAACTGGACTACAGGGGAACAGGACTACAGGACTACAGGGGAACAGGACTACAGGACTACAGGGGAACAGGACTACAGGGGAACTGGACTACAGGACTACAGGACTACAGGACTACAGGACTACAGGGGAACTGGACTACAGGGGAACTGGACTACAGGACTACAGGGGAACTGGACTACAGGGGAACTGGACTACAGGACTACAGGGGAACAGGACTACAGGGGACCAGGACTACAGAGGAACAGGACTACAGGACTAAGGGGAACAGGACTACAGGGGAACAGGACTACAGGACTACAGGGGAACTGGACTACAGGGGAACAGGACTACAGGACTACAGGGGAACTGGACTACAGGGGAACAGGACTACAGGACTACAGGGGAACAGGACTACAGGGGAACAGGACTACAGGGGAACAGGACTACAGGGGAACAGGACTACAGGGGAACTGGACTACAGGACTACAGGACTACAGGGGAACTGGACTACAGGGGAACTGGACTACAGGACTACAGGGGAACTGGACTACAGGGGAACTGGACTACAGGACTACAGGGGAACAGGACTACAGGGGACCAGGACTACAGAGGAACAGGACTACAGGACTAAGGGGAACAGGACTACAGGGGAACAGGACTACAGGACTACAGGGGAACTGGACTACAGGACTACAGGGGGACTGGACTACAGGACTAAGGGGAAAACACACAGAAAACTGAGGACTATAATAAAACGAGGTGAAATCTAAATGAAGAGAATCCAGGTGACATCTAGAACCCTGTCCAGGTCTAAGCAGGATCCTGTCAACCCCCTTAAACTGAAGTAAAACCCGTGTGAGTTTCCTGATAACCTTTGACCTCTACAAGATCCACTGAGTGATCTGTGTTGGTGACTCAGCTGCAGTTCACTCACAGGCCTGCAGGGGCCGCTGTCCCCGTCACACAGACTGATCCTGCAGTGCAGATAAACGTCCTCGTAGGTCCCGTGGAACTGGAAGAGCAGCGCTGAGAAGAGCGCTCGCCGTGACCGTCCGCTTTCATCCACCGTCACATGACGACGGTCAACCGGGCACCTGGGGGGATGAACCAATCAGACAGCAGCTTATATTCTGTGACAGACGCCCCGCCTTCATGTGTGTCTCACTCAGAGTGACTGTGTGACGTCAGCATCTAATCTTAATCTGTTTACTGTAATCCTCGAGTTTTCAGCGTTCGACCACATTTTTTCTGAGAAAGTGTTTCATCATTTTAACAAACGATCGAGGCGTCGGTCAGTTTTCTCGCACTAAGAAGTCATTTAAAGAAACTCTGCTCATGTCTGGACCGTCACCTGTTCTGGATCAGGAAGTACTTGTCTGGATCGTCAGCGCCGGGAGAGTTGGTGACGTAGCAGTTTTCCAGCAGGAGAACGAAGGTTGAGTTGTCGTAGTTTTCGACAGAGGCGCCGACATGCAGGGCGGAGCCCAGCGGCAGGCTAACGGAGCCGGGGGGGAGGGGCAGGCTGTAGTCTGGTCTCTGGTACAGGGTCATCACCACCCGGTTTGGTTCTCCTGACCTCACCACACCGAGACTGTTCCTCCTGGAGGAAACGGAGAAATTCTGTTTCAGGTGGAAAATCTTCACAGAAGACGACAGATTTAACACGTTTACACAGTTAAATACCTCAATATTCTAGATTATAGTCCAGTTCCAGGGACAGATTTAATGTTCGTTATGAGTTTAAAGGTCTTTGTAATTCAGTTCAAACCTGGATTAAATTCCAAACACCTCCAGGATCTGATCACACACTTCGGTGATCATATTGAGGCTGAAAGTCCTAAAACCTTGAGACTGAGCAGAATAACTTAGAGCCAAACTAATTTATAAAGCATGTGGATTATCAGACAATCACAGCTGTGTAGGAACCAGATGGGCGTTTACTGGGGAAGGAGCGCCGCAGCAGGTGAACTCACGGCAGCTGGTATCGGATGGCGGTCCCCAGGCTGGTGGTGTCGTCCAACGGGAAGACGCAGGTGAAAGGGACGCTCATTGGGATGGAGACGGAGACATTGGTCCCATCAAAGGGGTACACAAACAGTATGTTGGAGTAGGTGATGTGTCTGCTGTTGTACTGCACCATGGGAAGACAGAGCGAAACAGCAGACGATCAATCCCAACAAACGCAGACAAACAGTGAAAACAGTTTATGATTCGTCAAAAAGTCTACAGTCATGCTGGCAGCGCTGTGACGTCCTGTGTCGGGCTCTCTCAGTGTAATCAGCAAGGTCATAGTGACAGCAGCAACACTCATTTCTTTGCATTTTATTTCTTCATGGAAATACAATCAGACCGAGACGCTAAGACAGAAGAACTACCGCGTCTGTAAAATGATTAATATGGTGATTATTACTTCAAGGAAATGATAAAGAAATGATCATAAATGTTCTTCCTTGAGCTGCGGCACCCCGCTGTAGTCTGTAATGGACTGGCCTGAGGTCTCTCTACAAACAAGCGTGAGTTGTGTTTAGTCTCTTTGCTAAAGAAATGAGTCAAAGTTAAAAAGATGTTTGGTGTCTAGTACTATGTCTGTGACCCTATATGTCCTGTTGATGAAGTTAGGTGCTGTTCTGAGCATTATTTGTGGATATAGAGTGGCGTTTTGGTTGAGGGCGTGGCTCTCTGTATTTCTATCCTGCGGTCGTTACTAAAGTTGGTATAACTAGAGAAGCAAGCGGTCGACAACATTCATCTCTGGAGGGGGCGGGGTCTAACTCGGGGTTACAGTGGGTTTGACCCTAAATTAATTTTATTCTGGAATATCCCTTTAAGGACCTGCTCCCACTGACAGCAGTGCTGATTCCTACTGAAAACCAATGCAGATAAGGGTTCGCTGTACTTTCTTTGACTCTGCCAAAGAAAAATAATGTTTTGTCACAACGTCGTAAGAGGAAGCGTTGGAGTGCTTGCCCGAACCCTGATACTATAATCCTCGCTGCTTTACTGAGTTGCTAACTTGTTCCTGCCTGACATCTATTCACTGTCTACTCCACATCCTGTCTCCTGTCAGCTGTCCTACCAATAAAGACAAAAAGGCCCAAAATCTGCCCTTAAAGAAGAGACTGGACCAAAAGCTGAGCCCCTTAAAAGTGCTCATGGGACTTCATTCCCGTCGACACTAACAGGTCTTTGTGTTGGTTAGAGGTCGTCAGAAACTCATGAATATCCAGATTTTTACAGATTCAGTCATGACATGCAACCTCCAACACCACCAGACTCACCTCCACCAAATTTCCACAGACACCCTCCCTTCGTTCCACCAGGTACCACATGGTCTCTCGGTGGTCCTCCTGCTGGTGGCAGCGGGGGTCGATCAGGTGTGCAGAGGAGGCGTTCAGTCCTTGTTCCTCCAGCAGACTCTTTTGAACCATCAATCGCAGACTGTCCCGCCCACAGGCCAGCTCCGGCTGCAGAAACCTACCTAAAGGTGAAATAGCACATGTGATGCAACACACTGCAAAACAAGGCATTGTGGGAATTGAAGTCTTTACCGTCAAAACTCAGGGAGTGTTCCAATATTTGAATTCTCAACCTAGCAACGTGAAAAATGTACGAGTGGTCTCAGCAGGCCGGCAGTGATCCAGCAGGAGACTTGGTCAAAGAAGGACTCATGAAAGTAAACTGGTTTTAGAGCAACGTGATCAACAAACAACACGGAAGAGCAGGTACTACGGCGAAGAGCTTAGACAGAGGGAGGTCTCTGTCTAAAGAAGTGAGTCCTGGAGTCCACAGGAGTGGGGTGACGGGGGGAAGTGTTGGTGGAGCACAGGTTTGCTGGTATAAAAAGAGATGTAGTCCTCCACACTGAGTGAAGACGGTGAGATGGTTGCAGGATCAGTGTAAGAGTGTAGAGCTAGAACCACGGTACTAAAGCAGATCTTGATTTTCAGATGGTGTTAAAATCGGTGTCACTGACCTGAACAGATGACTCCAGCATCTTCATCATGGTTGCAGTTTTGATTGCCAAACCCATTGTGTCCACACTGGGATAATGCAGATTCACTGCCTGTACAGGCGACGTCATCCATCCAGATCTGTCCTGTTCCTGGTCCAAAGTGGGCCAAAATAGGTGCAGACTGGGCAGGACCACATCCCAGCTGTCTGCAGACCACCTGGGCGTCATTCAGATCCCAGAGATCACTACAGACAGTTCCCCACTGGCTGTTATGGAAGATCTCCACTCGCCCAGAGCATGCTGTGTCCCCGTTCACCAGCCTGACATCAGAGAAGGCAGCTAGACAGAAAAACAGTCAGTCAGAGGGACTGTGAGTCTGCAGAGACCTTCAAATCAGCAGTCTGTCACTATCCTTTAGTTCTTCAGAGACCAGAGGGGCCCCAGACGGGAACATTTATAAACCCCCGTCAAAAACAGTCCTTTTTTCTGTGCCTTTAAAGCTCCTGAGAAGGTTTTTGTTCATGTCTATGATCAAGACTACACTTTATATTGACGCTTTTTAATCACACACAAATGTTAACAAGCCCATCAGGGACAGACTGAGGAGTTTATATCGTCGTTTTGAAGGTCTGAAGTAAGTGTGAGGAGGTAGGTGTCCACCCAACAGCTGACGAAGCAGCTCTCTTTTCAATTTCCACTCATAATGTTTCCAATGAATGAAACATTTGAGTGTCCAGAGTCAGCAGGATGAGGTTTTTCTCAGAGACAAGAACGCAATGACTGCTTTGTCCACAGAGGGCGCCAAATCTGACAGCAACAGAAAGTTCCCCACAGGAGCTTTAATGATCCCAACAGCCTTCAGTTCGTGTTAACAGCCCGTGTTAGTGTGATCTGAACCTCTGCTCACTGTTATCATGTTCTGTCACTCATTTACATTTTTACTGTCTTTGATTTTTAATCTTCTGTTCGCCTTAAATCTTCTCTCTGATGGTTCCTTTATTCGTGCAAAGTGAACTGAAGGGATTTTTAAACTGTTTTTCTGATCATCTCCAAATACACAGTAATCAATTAAGTGATCAGCTCCAGAGTTAATTGATCACAATGTTAATTTAAGTCAATCAGGGGCTGGTTGAACAAAGGTCACAGTCCTCCACCTCTGGCCCTTAATGTCAGCCATCACACATGTTCAGTTTGTCTTCAGTGGAATAAAACCAGCAGACGTCACTGACCTGAACAGATGACCCCGGCATCTTCAGAGTGGAGGCAGTCATGAATGCCAAACCCATTGTGTCCACACTGGGATAATGCAGATTCACTGCCTGTACAGGCGACGTCATCCATCCAGATCGGTCCAGTTCCTGGTCCAAAGTGAGCCGCACTAGGTGCAGACTGGGCAGGACCACATCCCAGCTGTCTGCAGACCACCTGGGCGTCATTCAGATCCCAGCTATCATCACAGACAGTTCCCCACTGGCTGTTATGGAAGATCTCCACCCGCCCAGAGCATGCTGTGTCCCCGTTCACCAGCCGCAGACTAGACCTGGGGTCTAAACATCAGAGAAGGAGTCAGTCAACATCTCCTGAAGGTATGGTGTCCTTCTCTTGAATTCATAAGTCTCAGCATTTGTCTAAATTCTGGATCACTTGACCATTCAAAGCCCTCCTGGACCTGTCAAAACCACTGGATCTTTCAGACCAGACTCTGACCTTTCATAGACTCATTAGGCTAAACCTCCTGGGACCTGTAGACACTGACGGAAGAACTTGACATGTTCATGTGGATCCATCATTTGGACTGAAACACCTTTGAAACCTGTAAAGACTCTTTAGGACTCAGTGAGACCCGATAGATCTGAGAAGATCTTTGAACAGGACCCTTTAAGACCTCAGTGTTGTGCCTTCAGAGAACTCTTAGTTCCAGACGGAGGGAGATGACTGTGCCTCAGAAGATATCCAGAGTAGAGTGTTAAGGTTGCTAACATCTGTTGGTGACAGTGAAGTGTGTGTGTGTGTTTCATGGTCACTCACCTGGTTCACATCTCCAGTTGATGTTGTCCCTGCTCACACAGCTCTCACCGTCAGCACAGGTACTACACACCGCAGTGTTGGCATCTGGTAAAGGACACAAAACCACCGTGAGTTCATGAAGAACACATTAACTACGTTTGTTAATCTTTGGTGTCTTTGTCCATGTTCATGACGTCCATGAAATTCAGTGTTGGAGTGTTTCTGTGAGGCCGGGTTCAAACCATCAGAGACCGTGACCGTGCAAACAGCAAACAAACATGTAGAACAAACCGTTCTCAACCCTGGAGTTCAACATCTGGACTCTGCGGAGGACGACTCTGTCAGGGAGAGGTTCTGGTTTGTGATACGACATGATGTGTGACTGTGACTGATCTGCTCTGTCACAACAACATGAACCCTGAAGTTCCACCACATCCTGAACATCTACGAAAAGGTGGTATCCTACACATAGGTGTAATAACCGTGTGTCTCTACATCGGCGTACCTGTTTCTCACCTGCACAGTAAGCTAGCCGGCACAGGTTCGGGCTGACTAACTTGTAGACGTAGTAGTTTCCTGGGCAGGCTTTCACGTGGATGGGGTTGGACTGAAACTGGCAGCAGTCTTGTTCCCAGCTGCCACAAACCTCCGCCCAAACAATGCCTTCAGTCTTCAGAGGGTGGGGGGTCCGCAGCCACAGGGGGGCGTCGGTCCCACACATGTGTCGCTGAATGCACCGCTCTGGCATCCGGACACTGCTGTTACCGATGAACAGACGGTACCAGCCCTGCCAGTCGGTATGCATGTCACAGACTCTGGACTCAGGGTCCGCCCACAGGTTTGTGGATCGCCGGGTGTCTTGTAGCGGCGTGTAGTTCTGACACGGGTCGACACACTGAGATGTGCCGTTCACCTGGAGACAGTCGTGACCTGGAGGACACTGTGCGCTTCCACAGCCAAACTTTACTGAGCGGGGTCTGGATTTCACTGCTGTGCGGCTCTTTTGATCAGGGAGCAGGCAGGTGAAGGAGCCTGGGGTGTTCACACAGACCTGCCCAGGACCACAGGGGGGGCGGGGCTGAGAGCATTCATCCACATCCACGCAGCCCTGTAGCGGCGACCAGTAGTAACCCCGGCCACAGCAGTCATCGCTGCAGGTGCTTTTGTTGTAGCAGGTGAAACCATCTCCCACCACACCGTCGTCACAGCGGCAAGACACGTCCACGGTCTCAACGCTGTTATCGTGGAGGGGGGCGTGGCATCGAGCCAGTCTGTGACAGGCCTCACAGGAGGTGGCTTTGGACCCTGAGGACAGAGAGACCAGAAATCCAGATGTGATTGACATTAACACAGCTGTCAGCACTTCTACAGGTGATCGATCCCACCGAAGAGCCTGAAGGTCCCACACAACGACATCTGACAACGTCTGCAGCCTCTCAGTTTCTAACCTCACTATGATGTGGTGATCTGAGCAGGGCTAGACTCTATAAACTGTAGACACCTCGGTTCTGCTTGGTTCTTCAACACAGCAGGAGGCACAGTAGGGTTTAGTCTCAGTGATCCTATTTTTCTGACCAAGGGGAGCAAACTCATAATTAAGATCCACGAATCTCATAACTTTGAGACAAAGTTTTAAAAGACGACAGAAAACCCAAGACATCAAACATGCAGAAGGTAAGAGGGAAGGTAACCCGGGGCTGCTGGGCCAGAGGACAACCAAAGTATGTTTGTGAAGGTAAGAACCAAACCTGGTTCTCATCATAGGGGACCTCTGAGTAAACCTATTACCCTTCTCCCCAACAACCCACCAATGAGCACGACTGTGTTCGGAGGATCGACGCCTCGAGAAGGGAAAGTTCCTGAATCCTTCCCCCTTTGAAACCAGCAGGACCTGAGGTCTCACCTGAGGACTCACCTGAGGACTCACCTGAGGTCTCACCTGAGGACTCACCTGAGGTCTCACCTGAGGACTCACCTGAGGTCTCACCTGAGGTCTCACCTGAGGTCTCACCTGAGGTCTCACCTGAGGACTCACCTGAGGTCTCACCTGAGGTCTCACCTGAGGTCTCAGCTGAACAGGCAGCCAGGAGGATCAGCAGAAGCAGACGGATGAACTGCTGGAACATTTTCAGACTGAAACAGAGAACATCGGTGAGTCACAGCCGCTGACGTAAACTTCAGGTGTAGACAGAGCCTCAGCGGGGTCCTCTATTTCTGCCAATAATATTGATTGTCGATCACTCACACACCTACTGCAGTATAAATTTGACATGTCTTTACACATTGAAGGAGGTGGCCTCAGTAATAACATGAATAACACCAAAGACTGACTGATGATGATGATGTTCAGGGGGCCACCTGTGGTTTTTAATCTCTAAATGAAACACACTCAGTGACCATCTCACAGCAGGAGGAACAGAACGGCGGCAGAGCTTCGACATGTCGGCAGTAAGAATCATCAGCAGCAGCGTTTTAGGACTGAGCCGAAGTCAGAGAGTAAAACTGTATGAAATATGACATGAATGTGTTTAAAGAGACCGTACCTGTGTGGGAGCTCTCTGCAGGAGTTCAGCTGTCGTTTGTTTCTGTCCAGAACTCTTGTACCTGCTTATCTTCAGCTCCGTCAGTTTTTATTATGGTTGTAAACTTCAAATCTCTGCCATAAAATAAGATTTCCTTTTAGTCCCACAGGGGAAAATTCCACGATAATGAAGCTGTTTGGGGAGAAAAGGTGGATTCAGTTCTATGACTGGAGACTTGTCTCAGTTTTCATGTTGGGTTCTTGGTTCTGCAGCTGACAGGACTGCAGATGTTTGAGTATTAATGATGATTATTTATCTTCGCTCAGCCCTGAGATGACACAGAGGAATCAGACGTCCACATATTTCCTCCTTAAACTTGGCTGGACTGCTGGTCTCTGTGATAAGAACTGCGTCTTTTATTGGGAACAAAGGTCGAGTCATTCAAGGTCATCATTCGATTTCCAGAGAAACAGAATCAAACTTCAGGGTTCAAGTGAGGAGCAGGAAGGAGATCAGACTGTTTTCAGGACAGACATTAAACTGTGTCCCTCATGATCCAAACATCCAAAATATGATTTTTATAATAAAAAGAACTTGTTCAAATACAGCTCATCATATAACAGGAGGACACGCTCTCCCTGATTGGCTGATCCAGAGTCAGACTTGGTGACCCCCGACCTCCACCTTCATCCTGATCGTCTCCTAAAAGGTCGTATCCTCCGATCGTAGCTGATCGTAACCATTCAAGTTAACGTGTCAATTTACACCGACTTCTTTCCGTTCCTCTGCGGATCGTCGGACTCCTCAGCTGATCACAAGAGTTCTATTTTTTCTGGACGCCGGAGCATGGCGGATAAATTCAGCACAGATTAACCCGTGCTGGAAAGGAAGTCGGGCACAGACTTCAAAATAAAACATCCGGCTTCTTTTCAAAATAAAACGGGCGGAGACGAACAAGTGAAAGGTTTTTAGACGTCATTTCACCCCGATGACACCATGGATGAGGAGATGCTGATTCTAGAAGTCTAGAAGTAGATTTCCTCCTCTGGAAGGACACAATCTACTGCTTATATGTCTATGTGTCTGTCTTTAGAGAGACAACTTGTTATCGCGGGATTGAACGTGAATCTGCAGGTTCTTGGGAGTTCTCGTGATTCCTGCTGTCAGTAACCCGCCATGAAATTCGCCTCACCAACAGACCTGGTAGGACTTGGCGGACGGTGAAAATTGCCGCCGATGCGGGTCGGAGCAGGAACTTTAACTCCAGCAGGTATAAATGTGTGACAAGCTTATTTTTTATCATAAAATGTTCCTTTATTGACAGAAAGATGGAGTCAGACGGACAGACACAGGAGGACACGGGTTAGTTTGATCTTCAGGTGGAGAGTTTACAGAAACCAACAGAGTTCAGATCAGAGCAGCTTCATCAGGCAGAAACAATCAGATACAAAATCAGATTTATAAAAACAGGATTTCAGAGGCTACAGGATACAGATCACAGAGGTGTGCTGAAGAAGGAGGCGAACGGCCAATCAGGAGGCTGCAGACGGGTCACACGGGCATCTGCAGCTGCGAGTACTCGTCCTGCCCCTCCTTCTCCTCCAGGTACGGCTCTGCGTCATCAGCATCCAGCTGCAGGACCAGAGGTCAGAGGTCAGGACTGCAGACTGTTGTCATGGTAACAACCCAAACAGGACATCTAACGTCTCTACCATGACCTGAGCTAATCTGACTCCTCCCTCCTCTCTACAGGGTCCACCAGACCTGTCCTCAGCTCCCAGTCCAGAACCAGAATCCCTGATATGAAGTTTACAGTTTGTCAAAAATACTCGGATGACGTTCTGATTCAGGAAGATTTCACAGTTTTCATCAGACCAGTCTGCTTCACCTACTGTTACCCACAATGCAAAGCGCCTGGGCAGACGGCGGAATAGCGGAGAGCGGAGAAACGTTTGAGCGGAGCGTTCATTTTCTAAGAGGACGGCTAAAAGATTCGACCTCCTGACAGCCTGTCTTCTTCTTCTTCTCCTTCTTTGTCTCCTTCTTCTTCTCCTTCTCCTTCTTCTCCTTCTTCTTCTTCTCCTTCTTTGTCTCCTTCTTCTTCTCCTTCTCCTTCTTCTCCTTCTTCTTCTTCTCCTTCTCCTTCTTCTCCTTCTTCTTCTTCTTCTTCTTCTTCTTCTCCTTCTTCTTCTTCTCCTTCTTTTTCTTCTTCTTCTTCTCCTTCTTCTTCTTCTTCTTCTTCTTTGTCTCCTTCTTCTTCTCCTTCTCCTTCTTCTCCTTCTTCTTCTTCTTCTTCTTCTTCTTCTCCTTCTTCTTCTTCTCCTTCTTCTTCTCCTTCTTCTTCTTCTTCATCTTCTTCTTCTCCTTCTTCTTCTTCTCCTTCTTCTTCTTCTTCTTCTCCTTCTTCTTCTTCTTCTTCTTCTTCTCCTTCTTCTTCTTCTCCTTCTTCTTCTTCTCCTTCTTCTTCTTCTTCTTCTTCTTCTTCTTCTCCTTCTTCTTCTCCTTCTTCTCCTTCTTCTTCTTCTTCTTCTTCTTCTCTCTTCTTCTTCTTCTCCTTCTTCTTCTCCTTCTTCTTCTTCTTCTTCTTCTTCTTCTCCTTCTTCTTCTTCTCCTTCTTCTTCTTCTTCTTCTCCTTCTTCTTCTTCTTCTTCTTCTTCTTCTCCTTCTTCTTCTTCTCCTTCTTCTTCTTCTCCTTCTTCTTCTTCTTCTTCTCCTTCTTCTTCTTCTTCTTCTTCTTCTTCTTCTTCTTCTTCTCCTTCTTCTTCTTCTTCTTCTCCTTCTTCTTCTTCTTCTTCTTCTTCTTCTTCTCCTTCTCCTTCTTCTTCTTCTTCTTCTTCTTCTTCTTCTTCTTCTCCTTCTTCTTCTCCTTCTTCTCCTTCTTCTTCTTCTTCTTCTCCTTCTTCTTCTTCTCCTTCTTCTTCTCCTTCTTCTTCTTCTTCATCTTCTTCTTCTCCTTCTTCTTCTTCTCCTTCTTCTTCTTCTTCTTCTCCTTCTTCTTCTTCTTCTTCTTCTTCTCCTTCTTCTTCTTCTCCTTCTTCTTCTTCTCCTTCTTCTTCTTCTTCTTCTTCTCCTTCTTCTTCTTCTCCTTCTTCTTCTTCTCCTTCTTCTTCTTCTTCTTCTCCTTCTTCTCCTTCTTCTCCTTTCTTCTTCTTCTTCTTCTTCTTCTTCTCCTTCTTCTTCTTCTCCTTCTTCTTCTTCTTCTTCTTCTTCTTCTTCTTCTTCTTCTTCTTCTTCTTCTTCTTCTTCTTTCTGACAAGAACGTTTGTTTTCATACCGGACAGTTTTTACCTCCATCAAAGCCTCAGATTCTCCACCTTCTCCTCGTCTTTTATTCTGTAGCTACGCCTGATGATGACCACACACAGCGCACGCCATCAGCCATGTTTCCATCGCACAGCTGGACAGTCAGCTGACATTAGAGGAGGTCTGAAGCTTTAACGCAGAAAGGCGAGTAAACGTTAAAACAGTCGGACTCAATCAGACGATATTTGACCGTCTGAACGTCTGCTGTGTTTACGGCGCCGTGATGAGAATCAAACGACGCCGGATCATCGACGAGTCATCGCAGAGACAGAACAGGTTCTGATGGTTCTGGACTAAAAATCCAGAAAAAATCAAATTAAAGATTTTTTTCTGTTTGTAAATAAACGAAGAACTCTGAGTGTCGCTGTAATTTACCAGAGTATGACGGACTGGAAACCAGTTAAACCAGTTAAACCAGTTAAACCAGTTAAACCAGTTAAACCAGGACAACCAAACTACAGAATAACAGACGACTTACAGTCAGACTGAACTACCATAGAACTCAGTATGAAGTATCTACTGTATACTACTATAGAACTCAGTACTCAGTGTGCAGGACCTGGTCTTCTGGGCTCAGTTTGTGGGTCCTAACCTCTCCTGGGTCCTGTCCTGCTGTAGGCTACAGTCGGGTTCCTGGATGGTACCGAAGCCTCGTTTTCACAGTAACACATTATTGTGGTCCACTGAGGGATGAGACCTTGTTGATCCTCGTCTCAGTTCTCTAACGGGTCCTTCAGACCACACCTGACCGGGTCAGTCACACAAACGAGTGTTTCTCTGTAACGTCACTCTGATGTCCTGAATTACTCACACTCTGCATCTCTCTCCAGCTGAAGATCCGGGGCAGCACCAGCATCCTCACGGGGATGGTCAGTAGCAGCATGAAGGGGAACGCCAGCGCCGCTGCTGTTGCCATGACAACCCACAGGAGGGACAGGCAGATCAGCTGGATGACGGTGTACAGATGCATCCTCAACGTTCGCACCTGAAGGAGACACAGAAACACGGTTTATGTGAGCTTGGTGTCCTGACCAGGTCAAGGTCCAACAAGAGGAAGGACAAGTCCCAATCAAACAAGTCCAGAATCAGTCAAGACCAACAAGTCCACAACCAGGTTACAACCAAAAACTCAGAGTGAAGTTCAAGCCAAGATCTACGGGTTTGAAAAGACACTGACTAGAAATAAGTCACGTCTCCCATCAAGTCCCAGATTAAGAAACATAAGTCTACGGTAAGGTTCAGGTGGTAGACTCGGATCAGAGGATAATCACCAGGAAGTCCCTGAGCAAAGACCAACAAGTCTGAGATCAAACTAACAAGTCCGGAGTCAAAACTAAACAATCAAAATCTTGGACAAGTCAAAAACAAGAAGTCCAGAATCAGTCCAACAAGTCCCTGAATAAATCAAGTCCAGAACAAAAGTCCAAGATCTGGACACCATAAGACCGAGTCTTTTCTTCGTCAGTGTAGGACTGAATAAAGTCCATCTGTCTTAGTCCTGATCTAAAGTCCGGAGGTTAAAGTGAATTTACAGGTTTTTGGTGCTGGTCTGGAGTCTGGCGTTTGTCAGGGTGCACGTCCATAGTCAGGGGGCGGGGCTTACCTTGCGGACGTAGTTTTGGTCAGGGTGGTACTTGGGGGGCATCAGCAGCAGGATGAGTCTGTCTGTCAGCTGGATCCCATTTAGAGACATCACACCCATGTAGAGGAAGATCCCGAACAGAACCGCCAGAGGGATCTGACGCAGGACATCACTGATGACGATGGACAGACCTGAGGGGGGACAGACCAATCAGATGTAGCGTAGAGGCGGGACCATGATTGACGGTTGTAGAAAGAATCTAGATGAAGAGTCGTACCCACTAAAACCGCGACCACGAACCCCGTCACCCTCTGCTCCTTCACCTCTTCGATGCGGGGTTTGTCACCGGGGGCAACGGCTTTGCTCATGACAGTGAGGGCGTTGGTGTGGGTGACAGAGCGGACCGTGGCGGCCGATAACCACGGCAAACCGAACAATGCTGAGAGTCCACCCACCACCACGATAATGAGGAGGTCCACATGGAAACCAGTCCCCTTCACCAGCATCCTCTCCTTCTTACTGACGATCAGCCTACAGGACAGACAAGGACACTCAAGATCTTCTCCTCTAAAACCAAAAACCAAGATACAACAGAGAACGGAGAGTCCTGTACGCCGTGATCTGAGACTCCATGAAGATCAGGATGAAGACCAGGATGGCTGGCAGGATGCTGGCTGCCATCATCCAAACAGGGAACTGCCCGTCTGACCCCAAAGGAGAAATCAGCCAACCACGTTTGTCCGGACTGGACACTGAGAATCCACTGGGCACGTTCAGTTTCTGTTAGCCAATCAGAGGAGGGCACAGTTAACCTGTCAGTCCGTCTCAGTGTGTTCAGTTAACACAGGATCTTGAAACCTGCTCCGGTCTGACCTGAGTGTAGGTGTCGTCAACGCTGTAGTCCACCAGCACCATGATGAGGATAGCGATGGGGACCCCGAAGTCTCCGATGATCCTACGGAGCTGGAACCCAAACAGAAGAACGACTTCATGATCAGTGATCAGGAAACATCCCCAATCAGACCTGATCAATCAGGAGGTCTGACCCAGACAAGTTTGAGAGACCTGGTCTAAATCTTCAGTCATGATACGAGGACTGTCCTTTCATGGTCTGAGTCTACTGAGTTGGTTTTTCCTGCTGCGCTGTGAGACCAGAATCTAAAATCCTTATATCTATATAAACCTGCTCCTGTGTGTACTTGTGTGTACTTGTGTGTGTACCTGTGTGTGTAGTTGTGTGTACTTGTGTTTCTTGTGTGTACTTGTGTGTACTTGTGTGTACCTGAGTGTGTACTTGTGTGTGTAGTTGTGTGTACTTGTGTTTCTTGTGTGTAGTTGTGTGTACTTGTGTGTACTTGTGTGTTACTGTGTGTACCTGAGTGTGTACTTGTGTGTGTAGTTGTGTGTAGTTGTGTTTCTTGTGTGTAGTTGTGTGTACTTGTGTTTCTTGTGTGTGTAGTTGTGTGTACTTGTGTGTACTTGTGTGTGTACTTGTGTGTACTTGTGTTTCTTGTGTGTAGTTGTGTGTACTTGTGTGTAGTTGTGTGTACTTGTGTGTACTTGTGTGTGTACTTGTGTTTCTTGTGTGTACTTGTGTGTACTTGTGTGTACCTGAGTGTGTACCTGAGTGTGTACTTGTGTGTACTTGTGTGTACTTGTGTGTACCTGAGTGTGTACTTGTGTGTACTTGTGTGTACCTGAGTGTGTACTTGTGTGTACCTGTGTGTACCTGAGTGTTTACTTGTGTGTACTTGTGTGTACCTGAGTGTGTACTTGTGTGTACCTGTGTGTACCTGAGTGTGTACTTGTGTGTACTTGTGTGTACTTGTGTGTAACTGTGTGTACCTGTGTGTGTACTTGTGTGTACTTGTGTGTAACTGTGTGTACCTGAGTGTGTACCTGTGTGTACTTGTGTGTACCTGTGTGTACTTGTGTGTGTACTTGTGTGTACTTGTGTGTGTACTTGTGTGTACTTGTGTGTGTACCTGTGTGTACTTGTGTGTGTACTTGTGTGTGTACTTGTGTGTACTTGTGTGTGTACTTGTGTGTACTTGTGTGTGTACTTGTGTTTCTTGTGTGTACTTGTGTGTACCTGTGTGTACTTGTGTGTACTTGTGTGTACTTGTGTGTGTACTTGTGTGTGTACTTGTGTGTACTTGTGTGTACTTGTGTGTGTACTTGTGTGTACTTGTGTGTACCTGAGTGTGTACCTGTGTGTACTTGTGTGTACTTGTGTGTACTTGTGTGTACTTGTGTGTACCTGAGTGTGTACTTGTGTGTACCTGAGTGTGTACCTGAGTGTGTACTTGTGTGTACTTGTGTGTACTTGTGTGTACCTGAGTGTGTACTTGTGTGTGTACTTGTGTGTACTTGTGTGTACCTGAGTGTGTACTTGTGTGTACTTGTGTGTACTTGTGTGTACTTGTGTGTGTACTTGTGTGTGTTCCTGAGTGTGTACTTGTGTGTACTTGTGTGTACTGACCCTCCCGGGGAAGAAGGAGCTGTTCTTGAACTTCCGAAGGTAGAAAGCGATGAAATACGTTCCAGCCATGAGCACCAGTGACAGTAGGGCTGTGTTAGGTTCTCCAACAACCTTCCCAGAATTCCTTGCTGTTACAGTGTAGTTGCACTGAGACGACGACACTGTAGTGTTTCCATGGAAACAGTTTTTAAGGGGATGCTCCTGAAAGATCTGGACAAAGACAGAGGAAGAAGATCGAAGAAGTTTAGCCTTTCTGTCCGTCAGTAGAAGGTTCATGACCATGAGAGGGGCGACCACGACAGGAGGAGGAAACCCGTCCCTACAGCCGTTCATGTTTGTCTTAGGGGGGCACAAAGATCTGACCTGGGATTTGGTCATGGCATGCACCATGCTGACCTTTGACCTCTTGTCTCACCTTGATCAATTTGGCGAATGTCTCGTAGATGAAGATGAGGGAAATGAGGAAAGAGAAGATCTCCTGAGTGAACCGGGACACATAACGAACCAGGATGCTCCCCTCAAAGGCCACAGTCAGGATGACAATCAGGACCAGCCAGATACCGATCCACATCCGGCCCGTCAGGTACTCGATCCCGTTGTCCTTACAAAACTACAAACAGGTATCAGGGGACAGTGGACATGAGGGACACTTCATGTAGCAGCAATTTCAGGACAGAAGACAGACATACAAAATCAAACCACGAGTCAACACCGCCATCTGAGCTTGGTTTAGACCACAGAGTCCGCTCTCAGCCAGATTTATCAGAGACATCCTCTCAGGGACTAGAAACAGAAACAGTCCTTTTCTTTTCAAATAGAAACTCGATCTGAGAGGAAACTAACGGGGGTCCAGGACTGAACCCTGAGGACCACCACAGATGTTTCAGTTTTACTGAGACTCTTTGGACGGTCCAGAGTAACAGAGACGCTCTCTGTGAAGACATGCTGCCCTACAGCTGACCGTGTCTAACCCCCGATCTCTACCTTCATCCTGAACGTCTACGAGAAGGTCGGAGCATGGCGGATAAATTCAGCACAGATTAACCCGTGCTGGAAAGGAAGTCGGGCACAGACACAAAATAAAACATCTGGCTTCTTTTCAAAATAAAACACAAACGACGAACAAGTGAAAGGTTTTTAGACGTCATTTCACCCCGATGACACCATGGATGAGGAGATGCTGATTCTAGAAGTCTAGAAGTAGATTTCCTCCTCTGGAAGGACACAATCTACTGCTTATATGTCTATGTGTCTGTCTTTATAGAGACAACTTGTTATCGAGCGATTGATCGTGAATCTGCCGGTTCTTGTGAGTTCTCATGATTACCGCTGTCTGTAATCCGCCTCACAAACGGATCCGGTGGGAATTGGTGGACGGCGATAATCGCTGCCATTCCAGGTCGAAGTCGTTCTGATTGCGGTGAAAATTGTGGGTCAATACTGAGACAAAGGTGAGTTTGCTCACGGTGTAAAAGGCCTCTTCAAACACCAGGAGCGGTCCGGAGAAGCCAATGATCAGCAGAGGCTGAGCGCTCAGGACACTGAAGATGATTCCCTGCAGGGAGGTGGCGACGATGAGCTCAGACACGCCGATCAGACCGTCTGTTTTCTCACCTGAGTCAAAGAGAACACACCTGTGAAGACCCAGGAGACAAACCTCTCTGGAGAACCTTCAAAGTTCAGTTTCTGTCGGTCAGATCCAGATCCACACTCACCCAGCAGTCCTCCAAAGGTGATGGCAGGTGACAAGGCAGCAAAGTATATGAAGATGATGGCGGCCATGCATTGAGGGTTCAGAGCATCCTTAAGGTCACCGAGGTACTGAGGATAACGTCGAGTCACGTCTCTGATCAAACCTCCAAAAAGACGTCCTGAGCGTTTCAGAGGCTCGTCGCTCCGTTTGGAGGGAACGAGGGAATCTAGAGGAGAAGAAGAAACACGTCGGGTTATTGTTCTGACACGACAACATCTAAGGTGACATCTATAAATCAGGATCTGAACGAAGGCACATCGAGTCTTCAGGTCCCAGGACTTCATTGGAAATCCTGAGAGGGATTCACTGTTTGGCTGATGACCTAAGAATGAACCCTGCAGAGAAGATGGACCTCCACGAGAATCTAGGACTGTCCCTTTTATAAAGAAGTCCTCATGTCACTGAACAAACTCTGTAGAAGAACACGTGAAAGAGTTGGTCTATCACAAACATCTTGAGATGATACCGACCTTCATCCTGCTGGATGCTGGCCTGTTTCTCCTGCAGTTTGCCGCTCTGCTCCTCCTCCCTCTTTCGGAGCATTTCTCGTTGGAAGCGAGCGACTGAGTGGAGCATCTCATCACCGCCGACCTCTGAGGGAGGAAGGACCACGCTGCAGTCCAAGAACCGGTTAATGGCTGCCAGCAGGTCCTGTCTGTCATCTGCCTGATACGCAGCTTCATGGAAGTTCTGGAGGAAGAATCCAGAATCAGGACACCGATGAAGTCTTTAAAACCAGATCGAAAACTGAGAGAGAGACTCACCTTGTCTGACATGAGTGTCGAGATCGATCGCCCAATTTGGTGATAGTCGATGTTGGCGATGGGAGGGCCCAGAAGGAGGAAGAGGAACCTCACAGGAACAGGAACTTCAAGGACAGACTCCAGCAGGACGGCCTCCTGCAGCCTTACAAAGGCCATGGAGGGCTGATCCAGGAAGTCCACGCTGCCTGCAGACACAACAGAGGGAAGCACTGAACCCACTGAACCTGCTGCCTGCAGACACAGCAGAGGGAAGCACTGAACCCACTGAACCTGCTGCCTGCAGACACAGCAGAGGGTTTTATACTCACCAACGAGGACCACGGTGGCCTCGGCTCTCTCTGGGATCTTCTCCATCAGCTTCTCCTCATGTTTGGATCTGGAGTGGTAGAGGGGCGGGGCTTCTTTCTGAACACACACATGGTTACATGAGGTCAGAGGTCAGAGGTGGATCAGAAAAACTCGCTGGGTCACCGTAAGATCTGCTCTTCCTTAAACGCCGATGACACTCTGCTGCTCTTCTTCTACTGACTCTAAATTTATCAACCATCTCAGCAGGAGGGACACACAGACACACACACACACACACACACACACACACACACACACACACACACACACACACACACACACACACACACACACACACACACACACACACAGTCAGCTGACCTGTTATAACTTTTTTTCCTTTACCTTGTTTTTCTCACCATCAGCTTCTTTATGATTGGCAACATTAATGGAGGGCTCTGATTGGACGATGTGCCTGTCAATCAAGTTAGCCATGTTGGCTGCAGAGATGTTCTTGCTGAATAAGCTGTGATCTTTCTCATCGCTGGGATGACTGAGGAGAAAAAAGAGACTTTGAATAAAACAAAGAAGAACAGGAAAGGGTCTCCAAGGACGGGTTAGAGATGGATGGATGGATGGATGGATGGATGGATGGATGGTTGGATGGATGGATGGATGGATGGATGGATGGATTTATGGATTTATGGATGGATGGATGGATGGATGGATAGAGATGGATGGATGGATGGATGGATTTATGGATTTATGGATTTATGGATTTATGGATGGATGGTTGGATGGATGGATCGATAGATGGATGGATGGTTGGAGGGATGGATGGATGGATGGTTGGAGGGATGGATGGATGGATGAATGGTTGGATGGATGGATGGATGGATGGATGGATGGATGGATGGATGGATTTATGGATTTATGGATGGATGGATGGATGGATGGTTGGATGGATGGATGGATGGATGGATGGATGGATGGATGGATGTTTTCAGGTGGATGTGTCGTCAGGTGGGGTCGTACCTGTGTCTGAGCAGCAGAGCTCTCAGGACGTTGGCTCTGTCTTCAGCTCTGATCTGATCGGAGATCACCATCTGCTCCACCACCTGCTGAGCGATCCCAGGAAGAGTCCTCTGCTTCAGGTCCAGGAGAACCGCCCCTGGAACACAACGCCATGACATCACACCACAACAGTCCTAATAAGGAAGTGTTTCCTCCTGCAGAGATTCTGACCTTCAACATGAACTTCTCCTTCTCTGTTTGATCTTTATGTTTTACTGTTGAAGTACCTGTGGGTGACCTTCAGAAAGTGATTATTTTATGAACATTTATCTTCATGTCTGTTTGGGGACAAAGAAACCTGGATGGAGCTTCACATGAACAGGAACCGAGAGTTAAAACCTGAGACTCCTGAACCTTCATCATATTTGAGGAGGAAATAAATTCAGGACAGAGGCTGGAAAGGAGGTGACAGTGTTGTCCTGCAGGGGGTGGCAGTGAGCCTCCTCACCGTGGGAGATGGTTCTTCTCAGCTCCAGCAGGGACCTGAAGGACAGGGAGGGGACGTGAGGTTTCCCCCAGCGCTCCGTCTCCTCCTCCACCTCCTCCTCAAACTTGATCCATCGAGCCGTCTCTCTCCACTGCAGCTCCTGGTTCCTGTCAATCACCAGCTCGTTCAGCTCCACAAACACCTGCACACACACACACACACACACACACACACACACACACACACACACACACACACACAGTGTTCATGTGAAGCTGAGATTTTCTTCTTCATCTTCCTCACTGCTGCCATCAACATGAACTTCAGATATCAGAGATCCTCCACCCAGGATCAATGAAAACTGATCAATAATGTTTGTCTTATTGATCGACCTTAGTACTATTATTAGAAATCAATTTAAGGTCTTTTGGTCACATGACAGTGAAGCTATTGAAGGAAAACAGCCTTTTCTGAGAACATCAACCGGTAATTTATTGACAGTCCCTTATTCAACACTGACGTTGACAGTGAGGGTGTCGAGTAGATTTAACCGCGCTGCTGTTGTTATTCCCGGTTATGGAGAGTGAGAAGACACCGGTAGATCCTCAGAGAATGTCCGTCAGATATCCAACCTGAAACTAACTTCACCGCCGTATTTACAGGAAAATATATCCAACCTGAAACTAACTTCACCGCCGTATTTACAGGAAAATATATCCAACCTGAAACTAACTTCACCGCCGTATTTACAGGAAAATATATCCAACCTAAAACTAACTTCACCGCCTATTTACAGGAAAATATATCCAACCTGAAACTAACTTCACCGCCGTATTTACAGGAAAATATATCCAACCTGAAACTAACTTCACCGCCGTATTTACAGGAAAATATATCCAACCTAAAACTAACTTCACCGCCTATTTACAGGAAAATATATCCAACCTGAAACTAACTTCACTGCCGTATTTACAGGAAAATATATCCAACCTAAAACTAACTTCACCGCCGTATTTACAGGAAAATATATCCAACCTAAAACTAACTTCACCGCCGTATTTACAGGAAAATATATCCAACCTGAAACTAACTTCACCGCTGTATTTACAGGAGAATATATCCAACCTGAAACTAACTTCACCGCCGTATTTACAGGAAAATATATCCAACCTGAAACTAACTTCACCGCCGTATTTACAGGAAAATATATCCAACCTGAAACTAACTTCACCGCCGTATTTACAGGAAAATATATCCAACCTGAAACTAACTTCACCGCCGTATTTACAGGAAAATATATCCAACCTAAAACTAACTTCACCGCCTATTTACAGGAAAATATATCCAACCTGAAACTAACTTCACTGCCGTATTTACAGGAAAATATATCCAACCTAAAACTAACTTCACCGCCGTATTTACAGGAAAATATATCCAACCTAAAACTAACTTCACCGCTGTATTTACAGGAAAATATATCCAACCTAAAACTAACTTCACCGCCGTATTTACAGGAAAATATATCCAACCTGAAACTAACTTCACCGCCGTATTTACAGGAAAATATATCCAACCTGAAACTAACTTCACCGCCGTATTTACAGGAAAATATATCCAACCTGAAACTAACTTCACCGCCGTATTTACAGGGAAATATATCCAACCTAAAACTAACTTCACCGCCGTATTTACAGGAAAATATATCCAACCTGAAACTAACTTCACCGCCGTATTTACAGGAAAATATATCCAACCTGAAACTAACTTCACCGCCGTATTTACAGGAAAATATATCCAACCTGAAACTAACTTCACCGCCGTATTTACAGGAAAATATATCCAACCTGAAACTAACTTCACCGCCGTATTTACAGGAAAATATATCCAACCTAAAACTAACTTCACCGCTGTATTTACAGGAAAATATATCCAACCTGAAACTAACTTCACCGCCGTATTTACAGGAAAATATATCCAACATGAAACTAACTTCACCGCCGTATTTACAGGAAAATATATCCAACCTAAAACTAACTTCACCGCCGTATTTACAGGAAAATATATCCAACCTGAAACTAACTTCACCGCCGTATTTACAGGAGAATATATCCAACCTAAAACTAACTTCACCGCCGTATTTACAGGAAAATATATCCAACCTAAAACTAACTTCACCGCCGTATTTACAGGAAAATATATCCAACCTAAAACTAACTTCACCGCCGTATTTACAGGAAAATATATCCAACCTAAAACTAACTTCACCGCTGTATTTACAGGAAAATATATCCAACCTAAAACTAACTTCACCGCCGTATTTACAGGAAAATATATCCAACCTGAAACTAACTTCACCGCCGTATTTACAGGAAAATATATCCAACCTGAAACTAACTTCACCGCCGTATTTACAGGAAAATATATCCAACCTGAAACTAACTTCACCGCCGTATTTACAGGGAAATATATCCAACCTAAAACTAACTTCACCGCCGTATTTACAGGAAAATATATCCAACCTGAAACTAACTTCACCGCCGTATTTACAGGAAAATATATCCAACCTGAAACTAACTTCACCGCCGTATTTACAGGAAAATATATCCAACCTGAAACTAACTTCACCGCCGTATTTACAGGAAAATATATCCAACCTGAAACTAACTTCACCGCCGTATTTACAGGAAAATATATCCAACCTAAAACTAACTTCACCGCTGTATTTACAGGAAAATATATCCAACCTGAAACTAACTTCACCGCCGTATTTACAGGAAAATATATCCAACATGAAACTAACTTCACCGCCGTATTTACAGGAAAATATATCCAACCTAAAACTAACTTCACCGCCGTATTTACAGGAAAATATATCCAACCTGAAACTAACTTCACCGCCGTATTTACAGGAGAATATATCCAACCTAAAACTAACTTCACCGCCGTATTTACAGGAAAATATATCCAACCTAAAACTTACTTCACCGCCGTATTTACAGGAAAATATATCCAACCTAAAACTAACTTCACCGCCGTATTTACAGGAAAATATATCCAACCTAAAACTAACTTCACCGCCGTATTTACAGGAAAATATATCCAACCTAAAACTAACTTCACCGCCGTATTTACAGGAAAATATATCCAACCTAAAACTAACTTCACCGCCGTATTTACAGGAAAATATATCCAACCTGAAACTAACTTCACCGCCGTATTTACAGGAAAATATATCCAACCTGAAACTAACTTCACCGCCGTATTTACAGGAAAATATATCCAACCTGAAACTAACTTCACCGCCGTATTTACAGGAAAATATATCCAACCTAAAACTAACTTCACCGCTGTATTTACAGGAAAATATATCCAACCTGAAACTAACTTCACCGCCGTATTTACAGGAAAATATATCCAACTTGAAACTAACTTCACCGCCGTATTTACAGGAAAATATATCCAACCTAAAACTAACTTCACCGCCGTATTTACAGGAAAATATATCCAACCTGAAACTAACTTCACCGCCGTATTTACAGGAGAATATATCCAACCTAAAACTAACTTCACCGCCGTATTTACAGGAAAATATATCCAACCTAAAACTAACTTCACCGCCGTATTTACAGGAAAATATATCCAACCTAAAACTAACTTCACCGCCGTATTTACAGGAAAAAATCACATTTGTTTATTTTTTTTATTCCCACATGTGACCGTAACTAATTTTCACACACATCTATTTTTAGTCACGGTGAAACGGTCAAACTGTCGAACCCTGCCTCCGTCTCCACCTCCACCTGAACCAAATACAAGACCTCCAGCCATCAGAGAGGAAAGGCTGTGAAGGAAGAGGAGAAACCAGGACCTGACTGCACTCTAACAGAGAGGACTTCAGGAGTTAGACTGGACCCAGTGTCCAAAAGCTCTGAAGACATGAGATCAAAAACTGGATTTAGAGGATCAGACTTACAGGGTTAGAGGAACCACAGCAGAGAGAAGAGAGCTACCCAGACCAGACCGGACCGGACTGGACCGGACTAACCCAGACTAACCCAGACTAACCCAGACTAACCAGTATAAACTCGTGTCTACCTTTCTCTGTCGCGTCTTCAGGTCCAAACCGACCATCCTGACGACCACGGCCAACTGAGAGCTGAGACCCTGACCGGGGAGTTTACCTGTGTCTACCTGTCTGACTCCTCACCTGTCTGTCTCCTCACCTGTCTGTCTCCTCACCTGTCTTCTCCTCCTCCTTATTTCGTCCGTTGTCACCCGTGGACAATAGCTCGGGGATTATGGTCTCGGACTCTCGGCTTGTCTTTCATCGCTCCTTTCAGCCTCATTTAGGACCTTTTCTTTTGTTTGGTCCACAGAATTATCTCATCATCAAGACCTGAACCAGCACCTGGACCAGCCCACCTGGACTCTGACAAAGTCCAGACCAGAGTCCAGACCAGAGTCCAGACCAAAGTCCAGACCAAAGTCCAGACCATCTGGACCGTTTTATACAACGATGATATTTAGACAAAGAGTCTTTATTAAAAACAGGAACACAGAGAGATCCTACAGACCTGTGAGTGTGTGTCTGTGTGTGTGTGTTAGTGTGTGTGTGTGTGTGTGTGTGTGTCTGTGTGTGTGTGTTAGTGTGTGTTAGTGTGTGTGTGTGTGTGTGTGTGTCTGTGTGTGTGTGTTAGTGTGTGTGTGTGTGTGTGTGTGTGTGTATGTGTGTGTGTGTGTGTGTGTGTCTGTGTGTGTGTGTGTGTGTGTCTGTGTGTGTGTGTGTGTGTGTGTATATATGTGTGTGTGTGTGTGTGTGTGTGTCTGTGTGTGTGTGTGTATATGTGTGTGTGTGTGTGTGTGTGTGTCTGTGTGTGTGTGTGTGTGTGTGTATATATGTGTGTGTGTGTGTGTGTGTGTGTCTGTGTGTGTGTATATATGTGTGTGTGTGTATGTGTGTGTCTGTGTGTGTGTGTGTGTGTCTGTATGTGTCTGTGTGTGTGTGTCTGTGTGTGTCTGTGTGTGTGTGTCTGTCTGTGTGTGTGTCTGTGTGTGTCTGTGTGTGTATATGTGTGTGTGTGTGTGTGTGTGTGTGTGTGTGTGTGTGTGTGTGTGTGTGTGTGTGTGTGTGTGTGTGTGTGTGTGTGTGTGTGTGTGTTTCTGTGTGTGTCTGTGTGTATATGTGTGTGTGTGTATGTGTGTGTCTGTGTGTGTATATGTGTGTATATGTGTGTGTGTGTCTGTGTGTGTATATGTGTGTGTGTATGTGTGTGTCTGTGTGTGTATATGTGTGTATATGTGTGTGTGTGTGTGTGTGTGTGTGTGTGTATATGTGTGTGTGTGTGTGTGTTTCTGTGTGTGTCTGTGTGTATATGTGTGTGTGTGTATGTGTGTATATGTGTGTGTGTGTATGTGTGTGTCTGTGTGTGTATATGTGTGTATATGTGTGTGTTGTAGTTAAAGACGGTCAGGTGTAGCTGAGTCGATAATCTGATGGTTATTTCCCGAACAGACTCTGAGACCATCGGAGGGTCTCGGCCCCCCCCCCCGGCCCCTCCCCCTGCCCTCTGACCTCATGGGGGGTGTGGTCTGGCTGCAGGTGCAGCAGGTGTGACGGTGCGCTGCTGTTCAGATCTTTGGAGACGTGGACCATCGGCCCTCTGGAGCTCCTCTTCAACAGGTGACGCCTCACAGCAGGAACATCGTCCAATCGGTGACCTGAGGAGGCGGAGCATACATGGTCATCACACGGTCTCTGTACACGCCCCCTTCCCCCGGTCCTGTGGGAACTTTCTGGACTCTAACAGAGTTTCAGGCTCAATTAGACCTGAACACCCAGACCGGGTTTTAGGTGTCCGTCCAGATTAACGCCACTCAAACATTCCAGACCTTTCCCGACCACCGCGGCCGTGGACACTGACATGATGCATGCTGGGATATTTACTCCCATTTCCTCTTGACCAAAACCCTGAACCTCATCGTTAGTAGAGGCCGAATCAGCTCGTGTTCCTCTGTTCATTTGCATTAAGACTCTGTTTGACGTGAACCTGACATGATTCTGATCCTGAACTAAACCTGCGACACTTCGGTTCACTTTGTTATTTTTTTCCTTCTTTACTTTTTCTCACTGGTAGAAGCTCAGTCAGTCATGGGGGCGGGGCTTCAACGACGCGGTGCCGCCGTTACAGAGCTGATCTCCTCCTCTAAACAACGAGAACAAACAAACATCTGAACGATCGAATGACCTTCAACTTTACCGGGTCCCTGAACGCCTCACTCTGCTGACCCTCCTGAACTCTACGTCCCTCTGAGGCAGAGACTCCGAGACACGAGAACTGAACAGGAACTGAGAGAGGTCTCAGGTGAGCCGGGTCCAGGTCCACCTGAAAACCTGAAACCAGCTGACAGAGAGTAGAAACAGGAGCGTACTCACTGAGGTCGACCTTCAGCCTGTTTAGATACTCGACCAGGACCACCACACAGACCGGCTTCATCTCCAGACCACCACAGACCAGGACCAGAACCGGACCAGGACTGGGACCAGAAAGAGCCAGAACCACACACACACACACACTCTAACAATAGACAGAGGGTGTGGGCGGGGCCTGTAGGAGGTCGGCATTGTGTTCAGGTCACATGACGAAGATCGAGGACCCACAGAAGGTTCTTTATCTCCAAAATCCAGGACGCCGAGTCCTGACTGTGTCTGACCTTCACCCTGTGCCCCAGTGCATGCTGGGAACAGCTCCAGACCACTATGAGCACTGAGGGTCTGATCTGGTCTTCATGAGTCCACATCTGAAGGATCATCTCCAACCCATGAGGTGAAGGTCCAACAGGTTAGTCACATGACCGGGTCTCAGACAGACCTTCAGAGAGGCTCAGGGTCTCAGAGGTTCAGGACTCTGTGAGAGACCGCGTGAGTGAACGGTTCAACAGGTTCAGAATCAGGTTCCTGAGTGGATCATCGTCTACAGAAGATCAGACATGAGAGAAATGAGAAATAAAGTTCTTCTGTTTCTCATCCTTCAGAGATTCTGAGGATCTGAGAAATCTCTGTACTAAAGGGACCAGAACCAGAACCAGAACCAGGACTGGATGGTCCTGATCTTCAGGGTCTTAAAAGCAGACAGGACTCTGGAGATCACCGCATCTACTGATGAGGTTCAAACTGAACCAGAAGGAACCAGAACCACCAGAGACCTTTCTGGACCTGAGTCCATTTAAAGGGATATTCTGCTGTAAAGTTAAGTTAGGGTCAAACCCACCGTAACCCCGAGTTAGACCCCGCCCCCCTCCAGAGATGAATGTTGTCGACCGCTTGCTTCTCTAGTTATACCAACTTTAGTAACGACTGCAGGATAGAAATACAGAGAGACACGCCCCCAACCAAAACGCCACTCTATAGCCACAAATAATGCTCAGAACAGCACCTAACTTCATCAACAGGACATATAGGGTCACAGACATAGTACTATATTCAGAGTTGTTCTAACTCCTAAGAAAACATAAACTTAAGCGGGGGCGTTTCTCAACTTCTGTAGTCTATAAGCTGGGCCAATAAACTTCTACTGTAGTAAAATGAAAAGGTAAAGGTGTTTTTATTGAGCCGAATTATCAATAAAATCATGATTTTGTTAACAGGTATGGATTTATGTGCTGTCGAGTTAATATATTTGAACAAGAGCACAGTAAAGTTAAATCAGATAATTTTCCAATGAGGTTCTGTTACTAAACGGAACTACACCATGTTCTACTGAGGTTAGTACATATAGGGTCACAGACATAGTACTAGACACCAAACATCTTTTTAACTTTGACTCATTTAACAAAGAGACTAAACACAACTCACCTACTCTCTTCCAGCAGACGCTTGTTCGTGTCAGTCTCTGAGGATGTGTTTGTGTCTAACTCGGCTAACAGACTCGCTCAGTTACAGACGCAGAGACGCTCTTTAGACTCATCAGAACTGAAGTTGTTGGTCTCCGTTGGCTAACAGCGTGTGGAGACATCTAGTGTTTATAAATATATCTACGCTCTGAAGTCCCGTCAGACATGAATTCACGTCTGAAACTCTCGTACTGACTTTTGATGCCGTCCAGGTCCACAGACGTCAGAGTTTCGGCCTCGTCTGCGTCTTCAGCAGAGACTCGCGGTGAGAGGCCGTTGTGATTGGTTGAGTTGGTGGGCGGGTCACTGTAAAAGGGGGAGGAGTTACAGGTTAAGGAGATAAACCTCATTTCTGAAGTTGTGGACATGGGAAGTTAAAGTCACCTGTTGGGCGTGGTCGTTGGTCCCTGGTCGTTGTCCTCCTGGTCCTCCTCCTGGTCCTCCTCCTGGTCTTCTTCTATGGTGGTGGAGGTCTGCCTCTCGTCCTCATTGGTCCTCCTCCTCCTGCTGTCGGTGGGGGGTTTGGACAGAGGGTGGTGGATGTGTGGAGAAAAGTGACGGTGGTCTGAAATGAAGGACATCAGAGAGTCCAGGTCTGTTCTGACACCAGGAGGAGGACTTCAAATAGACCCTCTAGACCCCCCATCTCCTAGAAGACCCCCCATCACTGAGTAAGGAGACCTCTGAGAGGACGAGGTCTTCCAACAAACAGACCAAAACCCTCTCTGGTGGTTTGAGCATGAAGTCCGGTTCTCAGGGTCTGTTGGTCCCCCAAAGACTGATCAGCTGTTCTAGAGGTTAGACCCTGGACTAACTGTACCCCCCTTTGTCCCTCAAACCCAGAACCTCTCAGGTTTCCCACCAAGCCTAAAATCCTCACTAGGTCCTGATCTGAGTCCTTGAACCTCCTGGAGAGTCCTTGACCCCAGCTGGTTTTGGTCCCTTACCTTCATAGTCCTGTTCGTCGTAGACCCGGTGTTTCTCAGGTGGACTGCGAGCTCCAGGACTGAGGATCTCCTGAAAACCTTGAACCTCAAAAGCCTTGTTCAGGTCCTCCTCTTCTTCTTCTTCATCACCATGGTGACGAGGATGAGGAGGAGACCGGGTCTGGAGGAGAGGAGATGAAGAGTTAGAACTTAGTCTCTAAAGCGGGTCGGTGAGGTCCTCCTCAGCTGGTCTGTTGGGGTTCACCTCGAGGACCTGGAACAGTGAAGTCCAAATGTCTGATCAATAACTGATCGATCAGTTTTCTTAATTAAAGAGAACAGAGAGACTGCTGAACGCTGTGACTCCTTTAATGGTTCTAGTTGTAGTTCCACTGTTTGACCACTAGGGTTCGTGCGTCTGCTCAGAGTTTACTCACGGTCCTGAGAACAAGGACAGGTCGATCAATAACTGACTTTACGTGGGAATGATCGTGAAAACACATCTGTACGAACACAGCGTCAATAAATGAGGACCCAGGTTTTTGTTTCAGACCCGGTCCATGCTGGTGGACCCCCGTAGAGCCCCGTAGAGCCCGGTCTTCAGGTCTTTCTAGAATCTTTCAGGTCCATAGTCTCAGTTTTTTCTCACAGATTTGATCCAGTCCTTTCAGAACCACATCATCCTGTTTCCTATCGACTCATTGATCCTGTATCTTTGTTTATTGATCCGTATTGAATTAAACTGAAGTCTGACTGAGTCTACGTTCAGACTGCAGGTCAGTTCTGATTGGTTCTGATCCGACCCTCTTCTGTATGTGGATATAAATCAGATGTGTGTGTGTGTGTGTGTGTGTGTGTGTGTGTGTGTGTGTGTGTGTGTGTGTGTGTGTCTGTGTGTGTGTGTGTGTGTGTGTGTGTGTGTTTAGTGTGACGTCAGACTGGTTCTGATGGTCCTGATGGTTCTTCATGAAGGTATCTTCTCACATTGGACCATGTTGTTCTGACCCGTCTTATATAATCACACTATTGAACCGTAACCATGGTAACAGCCGATCCTCCCATCATGTGTTTTCTGTAAACATGTATTTCAGAGCACTGTGCGGTATTAACCAGCAGGGGGCAGTAAAGCCTTTTTCACCTGTTAGATCTTCTTCACAGCGATGACAGACGTACCTGTCCTCTAAAGACCGCCTTCAGATCTAAACCACCTGTTACCTGCTCCTACACCTGCAGTCTGCTGCAGTGACCTCTGACCTCCCTGACCTCCATCAGGGTGAGAACAGACGGACCCACGCCATGACAGACAAACTCTGGAGAGAGGTCTGACTGCGTCCCAGCCCCCCGTTACCGTGGTAACAGCATCATCTGAGCCTGAGAGCGGCTGCAGTCCTCGCTTTAGACGGACACTCAGACAGACGTTCAAGGACTCACAGCGGACGGACCGAGGGCGTCTCCAGGACCCACAGAGTTCTGATGAAGGCTCATGGCTCCTCCAGGGGTCAGAGGTCAGAGTGCTGCAGGGCGTCCAATGGTCAGGAGGAGCTGGAGGAGAAACACCGAAGGTTAAAGAAGTGAAGTGGGTTAGTGTGTGGAGTGGGAGTGGGAGTCTGTTCAGGGGGGCACAAAGGTTTTGTTTTGTTACTCCACCACAAGGGGGCGCTCCAGGTGAACGGACAGGTAAATGCTACAGAAGGGACACAGGTGAGGCAGTGATCTCTAACACCGCTCTCACCCTCATCACGAACATCGCCGTCGCCGTCAGCTGGACGTGTCCGTCTCTTTTTTTTATTTAATCAATAAAAGTCCAATTATAACTCAACAACAACCTCTGATTGGACGAGAAGTGCATCAATAACACCTCACTGCACCCAGACAGAGACTAAAATTCAGGTCAGCATCGTCACTACAGTTAGGCTCCGCCCACTCCACATCAGCTGATAGTCACCGCTGTCTCCTGGGGGTCTTTGCTGCTGCTCTCCCTGCCTGCACTTTAACATCAATCCAAGAAGACCCGCCCCCCCCTTCAGGCTCCGCCTCTCCACCTGGGAGGACAGGGTACGAACCCTTTGGTTCTGGTCCGAGTTCTTAAAGCAGACTGTTGGTGTCGACTCTGATCATCTGATTATTGATTACTTTAATAAGAACAGCTGATATTGAAAAGTGTCCTCCCATTGGCTGTATCAGGTGTCAATCATAGAAAA